GGAATAGATTAGGTACACAAGACAAAGTAGTCAATGTCCATAGTAATCTAGTGTTTCATAAATCCAAAGACTCCAGCTTCTGGGATAAGAATTCACCATTTGACAAGAACTGCTGGGAAAACTGGAAAACAATATGGCAGAAACTGGGTATAGACCAGCATCTTGTACTGTATACCAAGATAAGGTCAAAATGGGTACGTGATTTAGACATAAAGGGTATTAACATAAGCACATTAGGAGAACAAGGAATAGTTTGCCTGTGAGATCAATGGATTAGGGAAGAATTTGTGACTAAACAAGAGATCGAGAGCATTATAGGATTTAAAAATGGATAATTTTGATTATGTTAAATTTAAAAGGTTTTACACAAACAAAGCTAATGTAACCAAAATTAGAAGGAAAACAGAAAGCTGGGAAATAATTTTTACAGCAAGTTTCTCTGATAAAAGCCTCATATCTCAGATATATAGAGAATTGAGTCAAAATTGTAAAAATATAAGTCATTCCCCAAATGATAAATGGTCAATGGATATGAACTGGCAGTTTTGAGACAAATCAAAGCTATCTCTAGTCATATGAAAAAATGCTCGAAGTCACTAGTAATCAGAGAAATGCAAATTAAAACAGCTCTGAGGTACCACCTCACACCTATGAGATTGTCTATTATGACTGAAAAGGGAAATGATAAATATTGGAGAGGATGTGGGAAAATTGGGACAGTAATGTACTGTTGGTGGAGCTATGAACTGATGCAACCATTCTGGAGAGCAATTTGGAACTGTGCCCAAAGGACAATCAAATTGTGTATACCCTTTAATCCAGCAATACGACTACTAGGTCTATATCCCAAAGAGATAATAAAAATGGGAAAAGGACCTATATGCTTAAAAAATATTTATAGCAGCTCTTTTTGTGGTGGCAAAGAATTGAAAACTGAGGGGACGCCATCAATTGGGGAATGACTGAAGAAACTGTGATATATGAATATAATGGAATACTATTGTGGCATAAAAAATGATGAGCAGGTGGATTTCAGAAAAACCTGGAAAGACTTACAGGAACTGATGCTGAGTGAAGTGAGCAGAATCAGAACATTGTACATAGTAATAGCAACATTGTGTGATGATCAGCTGTGGATAACTTAGCTCTTCTCAGCAATACAGTGATCCAAGACAATTCCAGAGGATTCATGATGTTCACATCTAGAGAAAGTACGGATGGAGTCTGAATGCAGATCTAAGCACACTGTTTTCATTCACTTTATCTTTTTCATTTTTTTCCCTTTGGATCTCCTTTCACAATATGATAAAATGGAAATATGTTTTACATGGTTGCACGTATATAGCCTATTTAAAATTCTTACCCTCTTTTTAGAGAGGGCAGAGGGAAGGAAGGGAGAAAATTTGAAACTTAAAATTTCTTACAGATGAATGTTAATAATTGTATTTATGTGTAATTGGAAAAAAAATAAATCAACAACCATTTTTTTAAAAAGATCATAAGCATTCCATTTCAGCCACTAAAAGTAATATTTTAACTAAATATATGTGTGTGTGTGTGTATATATGCACATATATACACACACACACACATATATATACAGTGAAAAATTAAAGACAATGTTATCACATTATTAATAATTGAGGAAAAAACCTGCTTAATCAGGAATATGAGAAAATGGAAGATGCAGACTTTGATTCCAAGAAGCCCTTCAGGACACTCAAGGGTTTTTTTAAATTGATGGCATTCTTGTTCTTTACTGTTATCTAATGCCCACTGCAAAATGCATGACTTTCCTTTTTCTTGTTGCAGTTATCTATCACTAGCATCACTCTTAATCTTCATTAACCATGATCTTCTGCAGCCTTATAAAAAAGAATAAAGTGAAGAAAGTTAAATGATTCCCTTGGGATAACTGAGCTAGGGTTAACAGGAAAGGGGGAAAATGGTAAAAGAAGCTGCTCCTCTGTGGGAGGAGGGAGGATTCCTTGTGGTGCAACTAAGTGGACTTTGAAAAGGGTAGTCGAGAAGGAAGGGCCAGAATGCTTTCTTTATGAGTCTCCTTGAAGGAGAAGGAAGGAGGTTAGGGTAGGGAGGTCTTTGGGTCAGAGCTTGGCTCTTCATTTGAACCTGGGGATTAGTTCTGATGGTATATAGTTATTTGACATACATTGTACTCTTTATACTACATTCTAAGCTCCATGGAGGCAGGACCAGTGTATTCCTTATCTTTGCATATCATGGAGCACTTACCATTGTGGATCCCTAATAAATGTTTGCTACATTGTTGTTGATGGGGCTCTACAGGTGGGTGAAAAGGGAGGAGGTTATGGTAGCTAAAGTACTTCTAGAGAAATGAGGTACTATTTCTTCAAGCTAAACTAGTAAGATTCCCTCCCCCGCCCCCCAATCTTAATACTACTTAAAAAGGCACCAGTAATTTACAGTTTAATACTTAGTTTTGCAATAGGTTAATATTAATATTCCCTTTGGGAAATAAATGTAAGTTACTTGACTAAGGGTTACATAGGAGGTAAATTGATAGGAAATGTCCTTTTTAACCCTTCTGTTCCTTTTCTTCATTCTCTTAGTGGACCTAGGAAATTGTTTGGATTGAAAAGGAAGCCTGGGACAATAAATAGCCGATTTCCAAGGCTACTAAATTTTTTTTAAAGGAATGGGCTCAGAAAAGTCACAGCCACCTATTGATTTTTACCTCCTAAAGGATGTTTAATTGATAAATGAACATTTGGCAATATCTCTTACTGACTTAAAATTATATCCTCTTTGCTTGGCCTTCTAATTACAAAGTTGGCTTTCTCTAAAATATGTATACTAAACAAGCAGAGTTTATGGATACCAAATTTTGGTTAGATTTTTTTTTATCATTACATCAAAGTCAACTAATATCCACCCTCTTTATGTATACTCCTTTAACATGGTGTAATAACAATACAGTTCTCAAGAGTTGCAAGTGTCATCTTCCCTTGTAGGGATGTAAACAGTCTGCCCTTATTAACAACATTTTGTATCTTTCTGTCACATTTACCTTTTTATGTCTTTCTTGAATCTTGTACTTGAAGATCAAATTTTTTGTTGAGCTCTGGTCTTTTTATCAGGAAGGTTTGGAAGTCCCCTATTTCATGAATATCCATCTCCTCCCTTGAAAAATCATGCTCATTTTTGCTGGGTAGTTGATCCTTGGCTGCAATTCCAAGCTCCTTTGCCTTACAGAATATCATGTTCCACACCCTGTGGTCTTTTAATGTAGAAGCTGCAAGGTCCTGTGTAATCCTGACTGTGGTTCCATGATATTTAAATTGTTTCTTTCTGGCTGCTTGCAGCACCTTCTCTTTCATCTGGTAATTTTGGAATTTTGCTATTATATTCCTTGGCGTTTTCAATTTGGGATCTCTTTCAGGTGGTGAGTGGTGTATTCTTTCTATGGTTATTTTACCTTCTGGTTCTAGGACTTCAGGGCAGTTTTCCTTTATGATTTCCTGAAAGATACTGTCCAGGCTCTTTTTTTCATCATGATTTTCAGGTAGTCCAATAATTTTTAAATTGTCTCTCCTGAATCGATTTTCCAGGTCGGTTGTTTTACTGATGAGGTATTTTACGTTTTCATCTATTTTTTCATTTTTTTGTTTCTGTTTGACTGATTCTTGCTCTCTCATAGAGTCATTAGTTTCCATTTGTCCAATTCTAGTTTTTAACAGATTGTTTTCTTCTGTTAGTTTTTGTACTTCCTTCTTCAATTGGCCAATTGTGTTTTTTAGGGACTTGTTTTCTTCAGTGTACTTTTTTTCCAATTGGCCAATTGTATTTTTAAGGACTCTTCTACCTCTCTCATTTGACTTTTAAAATCCTTCTTGAGCTCTTCTAAGAAGGCTTTTTGGGCTTCAGACCAGTTCATATTCCCTTTTGATGTTGCAGATGTGGGTTTGTTGACAATGTTGTCCTCTTCAGAATTTCTGTCTTGATCTTCACTCTTCTTACAATATGAACCTATGGTACATTTCTTTTTACTCATGGTGTTTCTTTATTCCCTGGCCTTTAAAGAGATTGAGCTCTCCTGCTGGGGAACAGAGGGCACTGACCCAAGCTTCTTGTGTTGGGAGCCTAGGTCTTGGTCACTGGCTTTGTGTGCTGGGGCCTCTTATATTGGCAATTGGAGGCTGTAGGTTTCTGGCAGCTTACCTCGTGTTGGGCTGGAATCAGCAAGGCTGGAACTTTCAGGCAATTCTAGGTTGCCTGCTTTTCCTTTCCTTTAGCTTTCTTCAGCTCCTTTTAGATGGGTGCTGCAGGGTGTTTATATGCCTGGGGCCCCTTGCAGTGCTGCCTCCTTTGTTTTGCGGTAGAGTGCCAAGGCACCTGGTGGTTTTCTGAGCTGGTTTCCACCGGTTCCCCCTGCCCTCACTGAGGCACTGGGAGGTCCAGGTGTTGGTGTTTGCCTGCTCTACCACCTGGGCTTCAGGATCTCTTCCTGGTTGACAGTTGGAGGCTGTAGGGTTCTGACAGCTTACCTGGTGTTGGGTTGGAATCAGCAAGGCTGGACTTTAGGAAGACTGTAGGTTGCTTTCTTCAGCTCCTTTCAGATGAATGCTGCAGGGTGCTTATCCACCTGGGGCCCTTTGTAGTGCTGCTTTCCTTATTTTTGCTGAGGCACTGGGAGACCCATTTGCTAGGCTCCTGTACTGCTGCTCCCCATCTTTCTTTTAGTTTAGCTGTTCCGGGGTTTTTTTCTGGGGTGATATTTTCTGGGTTTTCAGAGGTTGATAGGGGAGAGTGAGAGCAACTACCTTTTTACTCCGCCATCTTGACTCCTGGAAGTGGAAGTCCCATGGATACCAAGTTTTGGTGTGGTTAATTACCAAAGTTACACAAACCCTTACTTTTATCCAGGTGTTTCTTTAAGTTTCTTTAAGGTAATAGTGAATCTTCCTCATAATTGAAGGTAATTATGTTCATTTCTTGGAATTTCAATATTCTTTCTGTAGGTTCCTGTACGGGTATTTTTGGACCTTTCCACTTTGCCATGTATTCCTTTAAGCAAGCCGACTGAACTGCTAAGATTAGATTTGATGAATCCATATTTGAACAACTCTAACAGAGAAGTGAAGGTAAGGACAAAATAACTAAGTAGTCACTGCTTGTTTTGTTCCGAAACTTTAATTCATTTTCTAGGTTTGGTTGCTTTGCAGAATAATATCTTGAAAAGCATCTCTATCAGGTAGTATTATTTTCTGTGGGAAAAAAAAGATGTACATTTTGCTGAGTGTGGTGGCATATAACTCCCATCTTTGCTATTAGAGGAGGCTGAGGTTGGTGGGTCGCTTGAACTCAGTTCTTGAGCTGGAGTTGGGCTAAAGCCAATTGGATATCCTTGCTAAGACCACTGATGCTGTAGGCGTGGAGGGCCAACAAGCTGTTTAGGGAGAGGCAGACCTAGCCAGGTCAGAAAAATGGAGCAGATTAAAGCATCCTTACTGATCAGCATTGGGATTGGGCCTGTGAATAGCTACTATACTTCTGGCCCAGGTGAGATAGGGAAATTCAGTCCCCCTTCTTATCTTCCCTTCTGGCTCCCTGCGCCCCCCCCCCAGGAAGAATATAAATTTTATATATTTTACAGGTGATTGATGTTATTTCTTCTGTTAAAAGCCTAATAGAAAATATAATTATGAACATAGCAATTTACATTGATATTAATCTTAATGAATGATTCTGTATATTTTTTTCTTTGTCAGAGACATTTGTAAATAGTAGGTAAGGTCTGAAAATTATATCCCCTTCTCCCAGCCCTACCCCATCCTAATTGATTTTGGAAGTGGCTCAGCAGTATGTTTATTGTTCACTTGCCCACTGGAGGCTTTGAACTTTCACTCTGACCTGTGAGTATTATACAAAATAAATACTTAGCATGCCATGAAGAGAGGAATTTTCTTGCATTAAAAATGTATATTAATTTTTAAAAATGTAAAAAACCTTTGCCCTTACTGCAGTCACTCTCTGTTTCCCTCTAGTTGATTGCCTTCCTTACCTAGCCATAACCCTGGCTTAGTTCATTTTTCATTCTTGTAACTTGCATTAAAACTGTAAGCACTTGAGTGACTTTTGCATTTTTAGGTTGATAACTAACAAAAAATCAAAGTGTACCAATTCAAAATTATTTTTTGATATCCTGAGAATTATATATTAGGACTTTTCATTTCTTAAACTATTATATATATTTTTTTAATTTGATATTTTTAGGTGCAGATTTGTAAATCTGGACAAGTGACTGCCATTCCATTCTGGTATCATGTGTATCTTGATGAAGAGATTAGTCTGGATACATCAAGTGAAACCTCACACTGGAAACAAGCTGCTGTTGTATTGGATAATCCCATCTCAGTTGAAATTGGACAAGAGGTTGTCCTCAACATTCAGCACCACAAAAGCAACATTAGCATCACAGTGAAACAGTGAAAGGCCTGCAGTCAGGCAGTTAGATTGTTATGACATTAATCAGTAGTGGGTTTGTATTTCATAAAACTGATTAAAAAAAATCATTCATTGTAATGGCCCATCTAATATGTTTTTAGAAAAATACACAGAAATAAAACTTTTTATTTAAAAGTTCTTGGATTTTAGGGTAACATTATTATAAGGTATTGCTACTGCCTTGCTTTCTGGCAGTTGGGTCTTATTATGGTCTTGCCTAATTAGTAAACCTTGTTAGGATGAAAGGAAACTATTTCTTCATTTTTTACTGTTCAATTTTACTACAGATCAATTTATGTGAACCACATTTATCATCATTTTTCTCCTATGATTGATTTTATCTAAAACCTACAAAGATGAGAAGGTGTCTGTGTAAAACATCATCATTTATCTCTATTTATTTATGAACAACAACAACAAAACCATTAGCATTTTGAAGCATCTTTATCTTTTATGATTTTTAAATCTATTTGACATCAAGGAGACCTAGGTTATCATTTATTTTTTTTAACAAAGAGCTTTTCTAAACAAGAAAAGTAAAGTGATACATTGCAAGTCAAGTTCAATTGCCATCTTCTCTTTGAAGCTCTCAGTATCTGTAGCAATTTATAACTCCCACATTGGTTTCCTTATGTTTCTCAACCTATGTCTGAAAGTTGGTGTGCATGAAGAATGCAAATTAATTTTAATTATTAAAATTCAAGCCAGACTCATTTGGGGAAGTAAATCTTTGAGGGGAAACCAGGTCCCAAGTAAATGAAAAACACCCAATTGGAATTGTTTCTGCATTTTTCAGTTTATAGAGGAAGAGGTAAAATACAAAGCAAATTGATAGAAGGATTTAATTTTAAAATCTCTGACTTCTAGAGAAGGCATTATACAGTTAGCCACTGTCTTTCTCCTAAAACTTACAGCAAATCAATGTCAAAAATACATAAGAATGTACTGACTATAATTTAGTTATAGACCTGAATGAATCTACGAACTCCTGAAAAACACATACCCAGAAAGTGATGGAAGGAGCTGGGGTATATTGGTCTGAAAAAAAAAAATTAGATTCAGACATGACTGACAGGTGGAAAAAGGATTTATGTAGGTCCAAAGCAAGAGGAACAATAAAAAGATAAAGCCATTACTTGAAGTGGATGGTTTAATGTGAATGTGTTCTTGTTCATCTTTCATACTCGAAGAAGACTAATGATATTATGATGTGGGGGGTCAAGGTACAGTGTCTTCCACTGGCTGATCAGTTCATTATGAGCTCGGAAAGCTCTACCACAGGTCAGAAACAAATAGTTTGTTTGAATATTTGGGATGGAAATGTCTCTCAATTTGTGCATCTCACATTTCTTTTCTGCTACTGGAATTCTGCTTTGCTTGTGGAGCACAGAGCTTTCTTTGATGCGGGCATGCCATGCTGAGTGGTCCTTTGCCAGCCATCTCCAGTGTCTCATAATTGATACAAAAGTTCTTCGGAGAGAACTGGAAAGTGTCCTTGTTCTGCTTCTTCTGACCTCTCTAAGTGCTATCTTGTGTGAGTTCTCTATAAAATAATCTTTTAGGTAAATGTGTGTTTGACATTTGTGCTATGTGGCCAGCCTATCAGAGTTGCGCTCTCTGTAGTACAGTTTGAATGTGTGGCAATTCAGCTCAAGGAAGGACCTCAGTGTCCAGTACCTTATCTTGCCATGTAATCTTCAGAACCTTCCTAAGACAATTCAAATGGAAGTGGTTCAATTTTCTGGCATGGTGCTTGTATGCTCTCCAGATTTCATAGGCATACAACAGTGAGGTCAGCACAGTCTTAACATTTAGCATCCCAGGAAAATATTGGTGTTACGAAGATGGGTTTTTGTTGCAGGGAGCAACTTGGGGTCAGAAACATTGTGCAATTTCTCAAAGGCAATCCAATCTGCTCTCTTCAATTTGGGTCCTAACTCATCATCCAGCTGTATTCCACATCCAAGACATATGTACTGATTGACTATCCCTTCACTGCATTTCAGTCTGGACAAGAGGCATTCTTTATGTACTTGGCTTTTCCTGTATGATTTCTGCCAGTGTCTTTTGAGTTACTGTAAATATCACTGAGGCATATCTGTTGTTTATCACATGAAGACCAAGAATTCTGAAATTTCACCTGCAAAACGAAACATCTGGAAGACTTCATTATATCCAAGGATTTTGTTGTCCATTTGGAGTCTGTGTTGGTTATCTTCTGTAATAGTAACAGGTTTGGCCAGCTTATTTTCCTATTTTGTACTTTACTTGACAATACTAGAGATGGTATTGTTTACCAAGGAATCTTATATAAACTTATATAGTAAGCACACTGTATCTTACATTCTTTTTTTTTTATAATGATAGCTAGCATTTATATAGCATTTTAAGGTTTTCCACAGCACTGCACGTGTTATCTCACTTGAGTCACTCCTGTGAAGTAAATGTTTACATTATCCCATCTTTATCGATGAGGAAACTGAAGCAGACAGAGATTAAGTGGCTTCTCCTGGGTCCCACAGCCAGAAAGTGTTGGAGGTAAGATTTCAGCTCAGGTCTTCTGAGGATCTTACAGTCTTGATAACTTTCAGTCAACTTTGTGGCTGCTATAGAAAATTGTACAAACCTGACTCTTCTATTTTCAACAGAGATAATCCTTTACATATGTGTAGATTATCTTCATATGGATTCCATAAGAAATTACAAATATGAGTTGGATGCTGTTCTCTGTTGGCTTTGGGGGAGTTAAACCATCCACAAATTTCTGGTAATGATACTACCACAAAAGTTCTGCCTCGGGGTCTCATGTTTTGGAGATGGCTTTGAAGGCAATGAAGGCTGTGAGGGTGGTCCCAGCAATGTCTATTGTCTATTATCTGAGGACCAGTCCATTGAAATATGGCTTATATCACTCGAAAGGTTGGCCACTGGGTGATATATTTGTTGGTCTGGCAACCTATGAAACAAAATAAAATGCAAAATGGCCTTCAGTCTTGTCTGGTCTGCTCCTTAAAAAATAGTTTTAATTCAACCTACTCTTCTCAGGAAGCACCCTGATGCTTCTTACAAAGCATCTTTACTGAAGCATTCTTACAAAGCTGATTTCCCACAAACGTGTTAAGCAAAACTCTAATGGTGTGATGACAACTCATAGTATATTTCACTTTCCACTTTTGTAATTTGCCAGTTTATATATGTGTGCTTTGGCTTTGGTAGAATAGTTCCAACATCATCTGCTATATTTGACCAGTTTTATTGCCTTTTAAGTTATTACGTCATAATAGTCATGTATTTTGTTCTTTTATTCTGAATCACATCATATAGATCTCATGTTTCTGTCGTTTCCTTGTATTGTAATTCCTCACAGTGCCGTGGTCTGTTAAATTGATACATTATAGTTCAGTTATTGTGCACATGTTCATTTTTCACTTCTGTAGTGATGGTGGCAGTGGTAGAAAAAGGAAAAGAAGGCTAAAAAGCAGTTTTAAAACAGTCTGTAGTCATTTTAACACTAGGAACTTTACATATAAAATCCTTTTCCAACAGCCAGCAAATGGATGTTATATATAGAGGAAATGAACTTTATCAATATTGATATTTTTTACAATTCACTAAACCAGAAGATTGTTTGATGGAAGGGTGGCTTACAGATCCTTCTTAGGCAGATGAAATTGGCAAAGTTAGCTTGATAATGCCCCTAGTAAAGAGAAGCATCATTTCATGGAACATTAGGTCATCTTACCTTGCAATGCTCAATGATGAGCATAAGTAAAAAGATAACCATAAAGATAATTGCATGTGCTGTAGAGGATGAAGTAGAAAAATTCTGCATAGTAGAAGTAGAGAAGTACTTTGACAATTTGAGAACTTCAAACTAAAGTTTATCATAGTACTCATTTACCTTGATGCAAAGTTATATATGGTGGAGAGTAACAAAAAGTTGGAAAATATCGCTTAGTATTAAGAAATGAAAGATGCCAAAGACTTGTAAGCGTTCATAAAGCTCATGTCTATATAACGTGATTATCCCAAAAAGAGAAACATAATGTGGAAGGCTGGACATGGTAAACCCCAAACATCAAAAAATGAAATTACTGTCTTTTAGCAGGCAAAAAGCAACTAATTTACTCATGTGGAAATTGCTTTCTTAACTGTCTCTGTATAGTCAAACAAACCTGTTAGAATGAAGGTCAAATTCAATACCAAATTAGAAGAAAAGATGAAGATGGGAAGACTAGGCATGGCATTATAGTAGTTACAACTTGACCTATTCAGATAAGCTACTAAGGATGAAAAATAGGAAGTAGAAAGACATTTATGCTATTTATCACCATTTGCTATATGAGTATAAGTAGTAGAGAGCAATTTCTATGAGTTCAGAAGAGTTTACCAACAAACCACCACAGCCATCAAACGAATTCATTCTTCTTGATAAGAGGCATGAGAGCCAAAAGTAATACAAGTTGAATTTTTTAAAAAAAATTTTAATGTTATTTCAGTTCCAAATTCTTTGCCCCCTCACCCATAGAGAAGGCAAGAAAAACAAAGCCCTTTACAAATATATACAATAATGAAAATCAAATTACCCCATTAGCCATATCCAAAAAACCCTAAAGAAACAAAAACAAAGAAAGTATGCTTTGATTTGCTCTCTGGAGGTCGACAGGATGTTTCATCACAAGTTCTTTGGAACTAAATTAGTCATTGTATTGATTTCAGTTAAGCCTTTAAAAATTATCTTTATCATGTTGTATAAATTATTCTGCTGGTTCTGCTCACTTAACTTTGTATCAGTTTGTACAAGTCTTCCCAGGTTTCTCTGAAACCATCCCCTTACCATTTTAAAAATTTTAACATTAATTTTTTTTAAATTTCAGTTTCAAATTCTCTGTCTCCCTTTAGCCTCTCCATCACCCATCAAGAAGGCAAGCAATATGATAACCATTTTATGTGTAAAGTCATGCAAAATATTTCAGTATTAAACCATGGGTGTGTGTGTGTGTGTGTGTGGTGGAGCAAGAAAAATAAAGTGAAAAAAATAGGCTTCAATCAGTACTCATAGTTTAACAGTTCTCTCTCTGGAGATGGATAGCATTTTTCATCATGAATCCTCTGGAATTGTCATGGATCATTGTATTGATCAGAGTAGCCAAGTCTTTCACAGTTGATCATCATTACAGTATTATTGTTACTGCATACATTTTTCTCCTGGTTCTCCTCATTTCACTTTACATAAGTTCATATACGTCTTCCCAGGTTTTTCTGAAACCATCCCCTTTATCATTTCTTATAGCACAATAATATTCCATCACATTCAAATACTATAACTTGTTCAGGCATTCTCCAGTTAATGGGCCTCCCCCTCAGCACAACCTTCTTAGAATGTAGGCTTATTGGCAAAACCTTTCAGAGTTGGATGGTGTAAGATTATCAGTAGTATACTTCATACAACAATGAAAAGTGGTAAACATTTCTGCAGAAATTTTGGCCTGAGACCCAACCATGCCAGGTCATCCTAGGAAAATTTACAAATGAAAGTGGAAGAAAGGTCAACAGCAGCAGTGGAAAAGAAATGGTAACGTTTCTATGACAGCATTGTCTAATGGAAAGAGCACTTGGAGTCAGGAGGAACTTGGATTCGAGTCCTGTCTCTGACACATACTAACTATAGGACCATGGACAAGTGCCTTTATTTCTGAGCCTCAGTTTTCTCATCTGTAAAGTGGGAATAATACCTCTACTGTCTACCTCATGAGGGGATTGTGAGGCTTAAACGAGGTAATGTTTATGTAGTGCTTTGCAACATCTAAAACAGGTTCCCAAACTTATTTGGCCTACCACCCCCTTTTTTTAAAAAAAAAAATTTACTTAGCGTCTCTCCAGATATCTCTCTTTAACCCTTTAATGATTTTTTTTGGGGGGGGAAATTTGTGTCATTTCAAAAAAATATGTATGTTTAAATGTGCATCTGAAATTTAATAATTTATTGTAAACTTGTGGGGTTTTTCCTACGTTGAAATTTTGATGACGCAGTATTGTGTCATGCAGCCATATGGTATCGTGTTGTAAACAAGTCATTACATGCACACATTCCTGCCGATGCATGCTGGACTTCCCAACAACACACAACATGCTCACCTG